CAACTTAAATTGTAAAAAGTACCGCAAGTTCGCGTTAGATAAACAAATTGCAATCTCCGAATAATACCCAAATACACATGCGGACTCTTCGCTTTTGCTGTGGGGTTAGCTAAGCAAACAGATTCGTTTGCTAAACAAATAAAGCGACGACGACGGACACGACGCTGCTATAAGGCGAAAGATAAACAAATTTTCAGATATAAGGAGATATAGATGTGTGTGTGTGTATATATATATATATATGTATATATATACTCCAACGATTCCGTGCATAATAAATAACTAGACATATGGACAGGAATATTTTGTTTTTATTTTTTATTGTTTTTTTGTAGACAAGCAAATTAGTCGATGCCAGCTAATTGCTGCTAAAAATGGCCAAAAAGATGCAGCTCAAGCATATTACAATTTAAATTACATATTTACTCAAAAGTAGACTAATTAAGGACATTGTAAATATATATCAATTAGCAAGTACGAGTGCGCTATACAAAAAATACTTTTAATCTTAATTCGATATATGAAATATATTTATGCATATATATTAGATCGGGTTGTTCATATATGCATCTATATATGTGTAAATAAATAGTCACATACGAGCAATATATTCAGCAAGTTGTTCTGTGTTGTTGTTGCCCTTTGATTTTTTGCTGCTTCGACATTTGTTTCATTTCTTTCCTGTCTGCCTGCAAATCATATTGAGTTTTTTTTTTTTCTATACACAATCACAGATAAGGCATTGAAAATATTCCGAGAAATATACACCAAATATAGAGTTTTGTATAATTTTTTTTTATGTGGAGCTCTGCCAAAGAATGTAAAAAATAGAATCATGATAACAGAACAAACGCATATTATTAACAGCGGATTAAAATTTGCTTCGAATAACTTCTGCTAATGCACCTAATTACTGGCATTAATACTTGTTAAACTAATATTTAATGTCTAGAAAACCTGTATACATAGCCTGTATACAAGTCAGTATGACTTTCAAGCACATAAATGCACGAAGTGTTTATTGAGAGTATATAATACTTCGGTGAAGGTTAGAAAAACTTTTTCTTACGTTTTCATTTTTTATAAGCAATACACACACTAATATATATGCATACATACATCTATAAAAGCCCCACACATATGTTTATTCTGTGCCGTTTTTGTGCTATTTGTTACTGCGCTCATAAAAGTTTAATAAGCGCTTTTGCTTGTGGAAGTACATTTCTGTGTCCGTGTATGTGGAAGAGAGTAAAGGAGAGAAAAAAACAGAGAGTAAGGGAGAACGAGAAAGAGCGAGAGAGAGAGAGAGAGAGACAGAGTGAATACGTGCGCTTTTGCTTTGGATGTTTGCTGCCAACATCAAATGTCAAACCCACCCACCAGATATTTGATGGGGCTTATATTGAATAATCAATTATCGCCATTGTTGTTGTGGCTGTTCAACTGTCGTTTCATACACTCTTGACATTCCTAGCCACTGTGCAATAAATAAGACATTCGCAAACAAAAACGTACATAAGCTAAGTATTGATACTTCAATTTGTAAACTCAATACACAATACCAAATGCCAATACATACATATATACAAAAGTACATGCATACATACATACACGTATGGCATGTACTATTAAAGAATTGCGCTCTAGTGTTTTATCAGCCTGACAGCCCGCACACGCACATGCACTCACACTTACCCACACAGTCGAACATCTGGCAACAGCTTTTTCAAGTGTTTATATTTTCTGCACAATTTTACAGAGAAACAACAATAACAACAGCAGCCGACACAACACTGATTGATTAAAGTTCACCTACGCACACACATGCTCAGGTACACACAGACACTTGATAAGCGTTCTCTCAACCGCTCTACACATATTGCGTTGCATTTAGTTTTTAAAAAGGTGTAATAATTACTGTGCGGCTTAGCGACAGCGAGAGAGACAGAGAGTGATAGAGAGAGAGAGAGAGAGAGATGGAGAAAGCGAGAGCGCTTTTGGCTTGACTAACTTTATCGTAGCTTATCTGTCAGAAGGCATCGATAGACGCGATTACAACCGCAGCAGAATCAGTGCTCGCAGCGTTAGTGGACAGCGGCGTTATTGACACAGCGACGACGACGACGCCGGCGACGAGAAAAGTAATTTGTCCAAAATGGTAAATGGCAGCCCACGGCCAGTGTGAGCATGTGCGTGTTGTGAGTGTGTGCCTGTGTGCGCAACACATTGAACGAAAGAACGAACCAAACCAGAAGAACAGAGCAACAGAAGAAGATAAAGTGTTGAGCGGGCAGAACGAGCAGAACTGCGCGACGCGACACGAAACGACGTCGACGTCGCTGTCGCTGTCGCAGGCGCTGTCTCGGTAAGAAAGCAAGAGTAGCAAATGTGATTGTGAGAGCGAGAAAGGGATGGGAGCTAATATATTCGCTGCTATTGCACTCGAAAATTCTTTTGCTTTTGTTTTTATGATTTTTCCAAGAATTAACAGCGAAAGACGATGGCCGCAGCGGCTGCGACTGCAACGGCAGCGGCGGCGACGACGACGACATGCACAGCCAGCAAGAAAAACAATAAGAAACAGGAGCGCAACAAGAAACAACAACAACATAGCGTATAATAATGTCTGCCCAAGTGGCAACACATGATTTTGCATGGTCAGGCACACAGACTGCACACACGTGTGGAAATACATACATATGCACTTATGCATATGTACACGCACACATACTTCCATATTTTATAAATACTAAAAAAAACGAATTTAAAATTAAATAAGAGTCAAAAAATAGAATTATAAACAATCGTGGAAGAAATATTTTTATTTTCCTAGAATTATCCACAAAAATCCTCCTGCAACGAGGAGATAAGTGAGTGCAGCAGCAGCAGAGGCAGCGGCAGCGGCTTATAGCCCGCCCACGCACAGCCCCCGCCGACAGCATTTGCTTGTTGCTTTTATGCACAGAACACGGAGCAGTGAACGTGCCCGTGTTTAGCTCTTTTCTCTATATTCTATTTACCTTTAATACACAAACAGCTCAGAAGGTGTAAACACGTACGAAGAATGTATGTGTGTGCATATGTTGGTATTGGTAGCGAGGGCCCCAACACACACACTCGCGTACACTAGTGCAGAACAGCAGAGCACACACACACAAACACTCACTCACGAGCAGACCTTTTCTTCTTCTGTTTCTTGCTTTTAATATTTTGATATGTATTTGCCGTTTTATTTTTAAATCGTACACACTCGCACACACTTACACAAATAAACGCGCCACACAACTACACGAACACTATCACAGGAACTCCACTCAACGAAAATACTGTGTTTGTAGTTTGGTGCCAGAGCGCTCAATAAATTGCGAATTGAGCTTGAAACGATTCTGGTATTTTTTAAACAATATAAATTGTAAAATATAATTAATTTGTATTACTTTAGCAAAACCCGCGAGGGCACACCACCAACGCGATTGGACGCACGAACATTAATGTAGGGCCGACCTGTTAACATCCGTATCCAACCGCTTTACTCAAAATGGCACTGCAAACGTAGAGCACAGTTGCGTGGCCAGACAGTTCGAATTCTGTTTACAGTTCAAAACTAACAAATGATTATATATTTGAATTTAAAAGGCCCGATTGGAATTATTAATGAATGATTCATACATTACATTAAACAACACAAAAATGATTTGCTAGCTTCGTACTTTTATAAATTTACATAACATATTGCTAATTCAAAGCTAATTCTGGGATTTCCCTGCTAAGACTAAATTATCATACGTTACAGATAACATCTTCAGTTCTAATACTTTTAGCTATTATGTCTTCACAATGTATACATTTACATACATACGAAAGTTTTTGATTAGCGTTATCAGATATTCCTTAAGTACGCTATATTATTTATCACTATCATTATACCATTATACTACTACCATTATACTATTGTTTATGATATTTTGTAGTAGAAAACCATTTATTAATGTTGAATTACATGAAACTATACGCAAGTAAATTGATTTTTCGCAATTTAAAATTGCAGAAAGGCTTAAATGACTGTATGGCAACTCTGTTCACCTGTTGTTCGCCAGCAGTCCGCCCACAAGGGAGCGGCCATGACTACAATAAATCAATAGTGGTCTTATTTTACACTTGCACTTGCCACCTTCATCAATTCTCGACACTCACCTGTTTCTAAGTAGAAGTCATCGATAGTTTTAATTATTTATGTACTTGTGCATATAATGGACACTTTTCATACAAACTTGGTTAAACCGAAGCAAAGAAGTAAATAAGCACTAGTGCTTAAAAGCACATACTCTACATATAGCACGTGAACTATTTAGGAACGTTTAACAAAAAATGACTTGTCTTTAAATAAAACAAATCAAATAAATAAGCAATTTGTTTTTGCGCACTATTTTTGCACAACTGAACGCGACTAGAGATGGCAAATGAAGCCAAATGTTGAAGACAAAACGATATCGAACTGAAACGCTATCGTCGGCGTTGCCACATCAAAAGCGAGTTGAGAAACAATGCGCTCATTTTAAATATTTGACAAACTTTATTGAAATTATCTTTAATTTATTTTTGCTAATAAAAAACACACTCACATGTAACATATTAAAGTATTGATTTCATGGCTAAACATTTAGAAATGTATACCAAATTTTTTTTACAATATTTTCACAGCTTTAACCATGCACTAGCAAATTCTAACGTACATTCGACACTTGAAAAAATAGAAACAAGCGAATACAATTAGTTTAATAGCTATAGAGTTGTATATATGAAAAAGTTATTGTCCAAGTTGTAAGTACAAATAAAGCATCAAAATCAATGCAATAGTAGCCTTAATTTGAAACTTTATACAGACAGGTTGTGATTTTATTGTGTTTTGTTTACTTTCAGCTTAAAGAAAATAATCGTTTACAGTGAATAACATAAGTAAGCGCTTGTGTATTCATCATAACTCTTCCACAGTTAACAACTAAAAATATCAATCAAATGTAACAATGTTGATGCTGCATGAGAAAATCAATCCATGCTATCCGAACATTTAACTTAATAACGAAAGCAGTGCGTTTGTCTATCTCTTTCCTTATCTGTGTACATCTGTTTATATACATATATATATAATTATATATACATGTATGTGTATCAATGAGTATACGTGTTTGTGTGTGTGTGTGTGTGTATGTGTATGTGTATGTAGGGCAACTGCTAGTTCTCAGCCCGACCACGCTTTAAGTGGGACAGTTCGATAAGCCAAGCCTTGATCAGATCGTACGTGGAGAAGCTAATGCCAACGGCAATGGGACCCTTGATCCAGTTCATACTCAGGCCCTTGTAGAAGCCGTTTTTGATGCCCTCCTCCCTGTGTAGCGGAAACGATGCTCAAATATTAGAATATGGATTACAATCAATGTTTTATTGCAAGCATTACCTGTATATTGTAACAAGCGTCGCCAGTATCGTTGGAGAAGACTGCGGCGCATTGATGTTCACCCGGGTTGTCTGCATACGCCGGCGCACAATGTCCAGCGGATAGCTAGCCGTTTGACCAGCTACACCGGCCGCTGCACCAAATGCCAGCGAAACAAAAGCATTCGGGTTTGTATTGCCAACGATTTCTATAAAGAGAGGGATAGCTTTACAGTGGAATGACGGAAGAGTGCCTGGATTTACCATGATATTCGCGTTTGAGCGTTTCGTAGGTGAAGAAGGAGGTGCCCGCATAGGGTATAACACCCAAGACTGTGGCCCAATAGCCACGGAACAGGGTACGCGGACCCTCCTCCACCCAGATCCTGGCAAACACCTGACGCAGAGTGCGATAGCCAGTGTATCTGTCCGTGACAGCCATGCGAGCGCGAGCCAAGTCCAAAGGATAGGTCAACGATTGTGAGGTTATGCCCGCCAGCGAGCCGGCGATAAAACGGCGTCCCTTAGTGCTAATGAACGAATATGAATACTGAATAACTTGATTTCGCATCATTAAGGCATCCTAATTGCAATGCCTACTTACCTGGCGCCATTCTGATCCACATGCAGGACGCGTCGCCATTGCTCGTGGGATGTGAACTGGATGGCTGCGTAGGGCACAATGCGCGCCATCGTCGCCGAGTTGCCGCGCCACAGGGCGAGCATGCCCTCCCTGGTGTATGTCTGCTCCAGATAGTTGAGCGAGGCCCTGAACGAAAATGACACATCTTTGCGTATCTGGAAATTGATTTTCGTGCGGTCCAGCGGAGCGATTGTGGTCTTGGCCAACGCACCGGCTGCAGCGCCCGCTATCAGACTGACGAGCACCTGGTCCACTTTGTTGCGCACTAAAACGGGACGTTCAAAGGGATACATTAATCTTTAGGGGGTCAATGTCCGCCAGTCTAGCAGATCTATTATTGTATACACAATCAATTTAATTTTCCAAGTTATATTTAATATCGCCTATGTACGCGGTATCTGCTAGTCTATCAGCTTTTATATTATATACACCATCAATTTAACATTCCAAGTATTTAATTCATTTTATACATTTAAAATTTATAGAATATCTGCATTTGATCAATCAATTTTACGAAATTTACAAAACACTACTGAAACTATATGTCAAATCGTACTCAATAAATTTTAATCTATGTTTAAATGCGAATGAAATGAACATAACTAGTTATACAGTCTACCTATTGAAAATTAGTCAAAAGGACATACAGACAATATATGTACGTATTTATAATATATTTGATAAGAATTACAACTGCATTGGTTGGACAAGTGAAATCGATACAGTCTGATTGATTTGTTTTTCTTTGTTTCCTTGGATTGATTGACCGAAGAGATAGCTGGACATGATATGGTTTACTATAAATATTTTAAGATCTTTAATCATACAATTGGCTTATAAATATATTCTTCAAATAATGATCCTATCATTGGCAATTGATAGATATTGACTTAGTTGATAGAGCTGAAGAGAGATGACATATTCTGTATTGGTCTTGCTCAGATTATCCATTCTATAAATGATCGAGAAATATGTTACTTGCTGGCAATCGATAAATATCGATATCATAAATCGTTGCCTATCTAAGGCTAATTAGGTAAAATCAACTGGGTTGACCTACTATTTGAGGACATTGCATCCTGATCAGCGGAGGGGGTCAGCATTTGAGTTCTCGCTGCGCTGCTGTGGCCATCCTCATCCTCTGCCGGGGAAGGTGTGTCGTCCGCTGTGGCCGCATTGCTGGCCGAGCCGCCAGCTACTGTGTTGGATAATTGACTACCTGACGATGTGATGGACATGGCAATGTTGGGCTTCTCTATAAGGCGGCTCATGGCAGACTGCAATGGGAGAGAGATAATACAAATTGCAGCTTTAATTATAATTGAAATTCTAATTATAATTCCTGGCTATATGCCTAAGCACTGATACACACCGACAGATCCCACAATCGCTCATCAAAGTCGCGAGCGTATTATGATTGAGTTTAAGCTCTTATCAGCTTAATGCGCACTGATAAGACAAGGCTAGGGAATAATTCGCAAGGCTTAGAGATGTCATAGAACGAGATACCTCATGATTGTTTCATAACGCAACAAACGTATGTATTTTGCATATTTATATTTTGGCATTGTTTCAAGAAAACCAAAAACAATTCAGATTTATGCAATCAAGGGTGACCAAGCTAAAATCTGTTGTTAAAAATTTCAATTGTTCTTTCCTTAAACAGCTACCGTGTGAAGAGAGTTTGTTGATTAGCCGTACCGATAAGATTGTAACGCGTTGAACGTTTACCTTTGAGGCCAAGACCATTTGATATACAAAGGTTGTATATGTATTCAAGTTCTTGATACGGGGATATACGGAAAATAAAACAATAACTATTGTTTATATAAATACCATTAGAAGCTCGTATTTCCAATATATTTATACTCTTCGTGATATTCGTTCAACTGTTTAACTGTGTCATATTCCATGAGAAATCTAAGACACTCTAGATAAGAGCATGGAAAACTGTTTATTACTGAAAAAATGTAAACAAGCTAGCAATAGCAACAAATTATCACCAAAAATTAATTATAACTAGCCCATGTGCTGGCACACACCTCCCAAACAACTATTATATATAGATGGATTCACACCCTCACACACACACACACACATACGTACTCATATTTAGGCATATTTTTTTAATATGTCTATGTGAATATATATATATATTTATAGAGCAGCCCGGTGCGATTGGTTTCCACAAGTGATTCGTTTCACCTTGAACAAGTTTTAGCATTAGGCACAAACGAGCGAAGCTCATGATAAAAACATATATGTATGTACACTCATGGTCAAATTAATAGGTGTGAAATTTTTTTTTTTTTAAATGAGAATAACGTCTATATTTTTTCATGTAACTAAAAAATTTAATTTATATTAAAAAATAGACACATTATAGAATAACAACAACAAAAAACAAGTTTAAAAAATAATAATTTTTAGCATAATTTTGGCATACTTCACAAAAAACTCAAATTTTTGCTGGCCAGGTTAATAGGTGTACCCAGCAAATTAAAAAAAAAAAAGTTAAAAATTCTGAAATATTGTAGAATATTTAGAATATATTTGGATAAGTATGGTTAATACCCTGTATATCCGCTTTTATTCGCAATGACTTTGCTGATTCTTTGGGGCATAGACGATATTAACCTTCTACACCTTTCCACAGGAATGGTGCTCCATTCCTCCTGAGTATTTTCCAATAATTGGGTGTAATTGAAGCAGGTAGTCTTGAAAATTAGCCTTTTCAAGNAAATAAAAAAAATAAATAAAATAAAATAAATTGAAATCTGAAATCTAAGCTTCAAATTAATAAAATGCAGTTGTAATATTCTCACGATCTCTCTCTCTCTCTCTCTCTGTTGACCCCAATATTTAGTTTTCCTTTCCTCTGCCAAGTTGGCAGCTCTGTCTCAAAAAATGCATTTCGTTTCGCTATAGCGACTGCCGCTCCGATCGCTGCTCTCGCTGTTGCCCGTTCAGCGATGATTGTCAATTTGCTCGTCGAATGCTGGCGACGGGTTTATCGCTTATTGTCATCTTGGGGCCGGGGCTAATTAGAAAAACACGTGAGCACGCACACCGGCTGCGTAGTTGTCATAATTAGAGAATAGAGTGAGACAGACAATGAGAGAGAGAGAGAGAGAGAGAGAGAGAGCACGAAAGAGTGAGAGACTCTCAGATCAGTTTGGTGTGTTTGAATATTGGCTGCGATAGCGACTGGGCGACAATTTGCTAGATTGATTAGGCGTCCAGCCTATGCCGTTGGTGGTGCAGATTCGTCGCACTGGATGCAGTGTAACCGGTTCGAGCAATTAATGCCTTAAATGCGGCTGCCTGGTGTGGCATTGTTAATTAATAAAGCGGCGCGAATGAGCTGCAACAGCAACAACAACAACAGCAACAACAACGACAATGGAAAATTGAAGAGTTGCTCGAGCTGAAGCTTCAGCTACGTCTTGGTCTCTCACTCGAGCTCTCGTTCTGGCAGCTAATTGTTAATGCAAAAATCGTTGCAAGTTAGAAAATCAATTTTTACTTTAATGATCTGGCAGCCAGGTGCTTATTAAAGCGCATCCATCGTCAACAACATCTTACTGGTTGCAGAGATTGCTCTTGTTGCTGTTGTTGTTGCTGTTGTTGTTGCTTTTGTTGTTGCTGTTGCAAGTAGCCGACTATAATTAAGCGCCAGAAATGGCTGCAAGGCTCGCACTCTGCAACTGCCACTCACACACTCACTATCTCCCTCTTTCTCTCTCTCTCTCTCTTTCTCTTTCTCGGCACCGTTAGCGGGTGTAAAAACAGCAAATGAGTTGCCATAAATTATTATGATTGCAACTGCAGCAGCAGCAGTAGGAGCAGCAGCAGTAGCAGCAGCAACAACAACAACAACAACAACAACAACAGCAACTGTATAATGACATATTGCCAGAGGATTGACAAATGCAGCTGAACGAAAGATACGCACTGATTCAAAACCAGCAATTCGATTGCAATTGGCAATCGCAATTGCCAGCCTTTATTATTATAGGCCATGGCCAAGGCAGTGGCCAAGCTAAACACTGCCTGCCAAAAGCAGCTGCACCACAGCCACAAGACGAGTTCGCACAGGTAGAGATTAAATATTTAGCTAAAAACTCGTTTTATAAATATTTATGCAATTTCTATATGTATAGCTAGATATATCAATGTGAAGTACTTATGTATACATACATATATATTCTGATTAGACCCATAGATCAAAGACCTATAGCTTATTTGTGATCTTCTATGTAAATCTATAGTCCAATTAGTTACGCCTATTTGTCTTAGCATTATATTACATGCTAGACCGATTTGTTAGATAATTGATAATGCTATAGAAATTGTTTATATATAGTCCAATTAGTTACGCCTATTTGTCTTAGCATTATATTACATGCTAGACCGATTTGTTAGATAATTGATAATTATATAGAAATTGTTTATATATATTATATATTTAATTTATTACTGAAAATCCAGGTTTAAAATTATTTTGATTTCTTTGGGTCTATTTTTGGCAGTCATTGAAAATATTATTTTTAGATCTATTTTCTAAAATATAATTACTGGAATTTCTATCAGAGCCTATTAGATCATTTACCTACAGCCGCAGGCAAATCAATTGCGTACCACTGTGAATGGGATGCTGGGGATAGTTGGGTCGTTCGGTTAGGGAGGTGAGATTTTGCACGGAGCCGGCAAAGCGAATGTACATAAACAAGTTCGTTAAACGTCATTTGTTGTTTGCCATTGAGTCAAGGCTAAGTGATTTACATATATAACTGCATATATATGAACATATAAACATATATATATTTGCATGCGTAATTGAGTGTAGTTATAAATAGAATCACTCATATTAGATTTGACGCTCGACCCGTCTAATAGGAAGCATGCGGCAATAACAGCTTTAGTTCTGATTGGAATGAACTTTGCACTTGGTTAAATTTTTATGGGAAACGTATACTGGACCTATGTAAATGCCTACGACATTAAAATATATATAAAGAACTAAATAAATTTTAATTTTCACTTCCTTGCATTTCGTTTACATTCTCAAGCAATTCGAGTTAAGGCGATTCTGATTGGAGTTAGCTGATCAGACAATGGGCACAGTAAACAGCTGTTGCTTAATTGTATTTCACTTTCAGCTCACTTGTTTCCTCTGTTATGAACAACTGTGTGGCAGCCCCCATACCCTCCACATCACCACACACATTCCAACAGAACTACATTTTATACGTTTTCTGTTTTGATTTGTATGCGTTTATTTATCACTCATTTTACTGCCCACTTATGCACACACTTATACACAGACACATAATCATATTATATAATTAGCCAAATTTAGAGATTTAAAATGTGCTGCCAAGACAACGACGATAACGCACCTTTGTTTTTGTTGTTAACAAAGATTTTTTGCGTATTCTTTTTTGACATGCATCAACAGCAACAACGCGATGTCGTACTGCAATGGCACGTTCATGCACTCACTAGCTGTAGCTAAGAATTCGAGGCGCTACACTCATTTATTTTGATTTAATTCACAACACGTAATTTGTATTATTTAATACATAATAAGAATTCGCAGAGCGGCTTCGCCTTTCTGTCTTTTCTGACCATTCGACAAAAACATCGAGAACTGTATGGTATTCCAGGGCTGCAGCGCTGCCAATGCACAGAGAGCTACCACATCGTTGAAATAGTGTTGCGTTTACCACGAATCAGGCAATACTATTCCGCGGTTGCAGCAACCAACTTCACGTAAGACGCACTTGGAGAAAAACAGAAAAATATCAAAGTATAAAGATATACAAAAACAAAAAGGAAAACAATGAATGTGTCGAACATAAATAACGACTTGCGATCGTATTCACGACACTGGCTTACTGAGTTCATTGAACAGTATCAGGAGGAGGAGTGTCTCTGGCAGCCGAAGCACCATGACTACAGCAATCACGCCGCCAGAAATAAAGCCTACGACAAATTAGTAGAAAAACTAAAAGAAGTCGAGCCAAATCCAGACCGCGCGATGGTTGTTAGAAAGATTAACTCGCTACGGTCCGCATTTCGTCGCGAGTTTCGCAAATCCAGCACCAAATCCGACTACGAGACACGCCTTTGGTACTACGACAAGCTGCTCTTCATAGCCGACCACAAACCCAAACGCCATTCAAACGAACTGGCCGGCAAGCCCAAACGAGAGCTGCACATCAATTTTGATGACGAGGACTCGATGGACTACGAGGAGGAATCACACCATACGCCTCAGTCACAGCATATCGAAACCATCGTGCCCAATGCCAGCGATGAAGTTGAGGCAGAGGTGGCTGCGGTCGGCACCAACAATGTTGTAGTCAGTAGTCAGGGCGCCACGCTGAGCACCATCTCGGTGACTCCAGCGGATTGTGTCACACTGGTAAAAGACGAATCACATCAGACACACAACGAGGTGGCAGAGGCGCACCAGCGACTAGTTGCCCAGGCCAACGCTGCACAATCCTCGTTAGCTGCTGCAGGCGGGCATGCCGTGAAGGTGTTAGAAATAACATCGCTCGACTCCAATTCACAGCGCGAGATACAACAGGTGAGTGTTGGAAATATTATATTTAGAATATACTAAATATTCTCCCTCTCTCTCTCTCTCTCTCTGTCAATCTGCTTGGCAGGCGGTCAATTCGCTTGAACATCACCAACAGCAGCTACAGCATCTGCACCATCAGGCCAACGGACATGCTCAGCCCGTGCCGACCATACAGATTGGACGGGATCATTACCAGCCGCTATTTGGCAGTGCGCCAACCACAGCGTACACGACGACAGCGCCCGCCACCACACACAGGCACGAGGATGAATACGATGCGATTGGGGTAAATGTGGCCAGCAAGTTGCGGTCCATCAATCACACGCAACGCATCATTGCCGAGAAGCTCATCAGCGATGTCCTCTTCAATGCACAGCTCGACAATCTCACAGTCAATTCGTCRCTGGCGCAATAATTAATTAATATATTGTAAATTAGTTTCAGACGCTTTCGGTCTACTTAATTTTATTTTACATAAGCATATGTATATGTATGTGTTGTACGTACGTCGTCCGTTTATGTTAGCTTGTATATTAACGTTTAATGTTTATTGTAGATTTAATTACTGCATCAGTTGCATGCAATAAATAGTTTTTAACAAGTTTGGTCTGCGCACAATTTGTAATTCCCGCGCTCAATCCGAGTCACTCTTCTCAGCTGCAGCACCACTATTATTTCCGGTCAATCGCTTCCACGCATATTTAGCAAACTGCAAGATTACTTATAATAGATATATATTCGCATTCCTCCTCTGATTTATCAGCTTATATTCCATTTACCGTAACGGGAGGCAGATCAATTTGTTCCTCCGCGGCCACCAACTTTCGATTATCCTGTAATAGGTTCCAGCCAAAGTGAACGGCAATCAGGCTGGGTACCATCACAATGGCAACTAGATTGCGGGACACAAATGAAGGCTTCGGTGTGGTCGGCATTTTTTTTTTAACAAATTATGACAGGCTCTCGATTATTGTTATTATTTAACATATTTGTGCATAGCGATGACATCTACAGTAAATCGATAACTAAATTTCGATAAATGCACTAAAAATGCCCAATAAATTACAATAATAGGTGGCAGCGCCATAATAATAAGGGCGCATAAATATTTACTTTTGAATACTTTAATACTTTTGAATAATTTAATTTTATTCACAAGCCTTTTTTTTTTTTTTGGAGAAATAATATATGCAATTTTAGCAGCACTGGGTACTGGGCACTGGTCTCAAAATGTTAATGCAGCTAGATTACAAATTTACATAAAAAGAAATTTTACTGTATGTTCCTACTTGAGTCAATATGTATTACATATCAATGAAAGCAAAGCTCTGATGTTAACATATTGAAAGATTTGGTCTTTCGGCTGTGCAATTATTTCTCCGTCGTAAATTTACCTGTGACCAAATTGTTGTCAACTGTTGCGGTTATGTGCGCACACACACATGCATACATATACTGTGTAATTAAAGAGCCAAGTGTTTTCGTTCCCATAATTATTCATCTTTACCCTCGACCTCACCCAGGTCTTTCTATCTCTGTCTTTGTCCCACGTATGCTGCCCTCAGAAAGAGCATAGAGGAGCATAGAACACGTAATCAATGGAATTTCTGGGTAAAGTACAAGGTACATCCGAGTTTGCAGTGGGGGTTAGAGCGCATAGCAGGTGTTAGTTGTCGTAGTGTTTGTGCAAAAAAAATAACAACAGCAATAGCAGCAGCGCCAGTATTAAAAATAAATACAAATAAAATATAAGTAATGCAGTCAGCGGCAGCGGCACTGCACTGTCTCCGTCTAGAGTTAGTTTAGGCAGAGCTCGCAGCCTATTCACAACAAAGCTAGCGCGCTCGTCGCAGCGAGAAAAGAAACGCACACACAGAAAAGTAACGAAAGCGAACGAGCGAAACAAAATTCAAGGGAGTAAATAAAAGTGAGTTGCGCGCTTTAGTTGGTCTTCTCGTTGCCGTCCTTGTGTCCTTACAAATTCTATGTTTTTATTTCCATGTTCGTTTCCACTCGCATTCACTCCCCATTTCCATGTTCCTGTGGCGGGTGAGCACAGTGCTGCGTTTGCTAAAATCGATAATCGCCTGCGTGCGCCTTCACTTAGAAGCCATTCTGCAAGACGGGTAAGTGGACTAGCCGAGTGCTCGGTAACTGCTTGTCGCATTGTGTCCATCGACTGGAGCACCCTTGCCTCGATATGCTGAGTATTTGTCGTGCTGCATGAAGACACAGATGAACGCCATCCAGCCAATAATGTTGAGAACTAGGGCCAGCATAATGCCATAGAACATGACAATAATAAGCTTCTCGCGTCGCGTTCGGTCAGCCCACGAAATATGATTCCGTTGAAACTGAGCATGTGTGTGTGTGTGGGTGGGTGTACGCCAGTGTGTCGATTGTGTGTTATTGATAAGTCGTATCTCTTCAAGTACTGCTCTTACCGGCATATCAAGTCGAGCTGCTGCTGCGATTAGTGTCGTATATACGTTGTCGCCCATTGGAACAAAGATTAATATAAATTCAGACGAAAAATTTTTAACTATATGTAAACATCAAAATTCTATACATTCTATGCTGTAATTGCCCATGTTTACAAGTTTATTTGATATCGAACTAAATATACACATGTTTATAAAACAAATGTTTACTTCATGTTACGTCAGCTGAAATTTAACTACTACCTTCAAGACCATTTTTGAATTTTATAAAATTCTTATTTTTCACCGATATATGTATGTATTGTCAGCTTTACTTCTTAATGTGTATGCAGATGTATTGGTATGGCTAGTCGTATAGCTTAGTAGGCCTGGTAAATCCTGAGTTAAGATCTTACATGAAACTGAACAAATTTCATTGCAAATATATTACAAAGATCTTCGATATAGTCGCCCTCTGACCTTTTCCAAATATATATATTGTACTTTTACGCTAACAGCAATTAAACTGAATGACTATTTACGAAATGTCTACATGGTATATAAGTTCGACTATTTTTGTAGATCCATCTTTAAGAGGTTTATAGTGTTCTGTCAATATTTGACTTTAATATAAAGAAATAAGAAAATAAAAATATGAAATATTAAAAAGTTAATTTTGTATAATGAACAGTTATTAGCTAAATTTCTAATAGACGTAAGGCAGGCGACCCAAGCTTTAAGCTCTTCTCTATGTAATTAGGCTATTTTCATATATACATATTTACATATGTATGTAATAGGATCTCGGGAGAATCCTTTACTGAATGATACCCTTACTGCGAAGCTCGGCAATTTGCTCAGCTCCATAGCCTAGAAGATTAGCGAGCACCTTATCTGTGTGCTCGCCGAGCATGGGCGGAGCGGTGCGTGCATCGTTGCGCGCTTCACTGTAGACGACCGGCGGACCCACGACCTTGACGCTGCCATCGCGCGGATGTGGCAGAGTCTTGACCAGGCCTATGGCCTGGATGTGCTCATCCTCAAACACCTCGCGTATGCTGTTGACGGGCCCCACCACAAAGGAGGCGCCCTCAAAGAGACGCATCCAGTTCCTGGACGAGTCGCTTGCCAGGATCTTGGCAAGCAAATTGACTAGTTCTTCGCGATTCTTGACCCGATCCTTGTTGGTCTTGAACTTGGCATCGAGGGCGATCGGTTCGATGTTCAGGCGGCTGCACAGCTCCACAAACTGGGCATCGCTGCCGGCGCCCAGCGTGAGGTAGCCATCGGCCGTCTTGAAGCTCTGGTAGGGCACAATGCTGGAGTGGGCAGTGCCCCAGCGCTTGGCCTCTGTGCCGGCGTTCAGGTAGTTGCTGGCCACATTGATCAAGAGCGAGCAGCACGTGGACAGCAGATCCACGTCGATCTTCTGGCCGCGTTGGGTGCGCTCCCGCTGCAGCAGGGCGGCCAGAATGGCGCCATGTGCATAAAGACCCGTTGCCACATCTGTTACAGCGACGCCTACCTTGCTGGGAGGCCCGTCAGGCTGGCCCGTGATATGCAAAAGACCGCCCATGGAGGAGGCAATCACATCATAGCCCGGTCGCTTGGCATAGGGACCCACCGATCCATAGCCACTGATGGTGCAGTAGATCAGACGTGGATTCGCTTCCCGCAGCTGCTCATAACCCAGACCGTAGCGCTCCAGGGTGCCAGGTACATAGTTCTCCACGAGCACATCGCACTTGCTGACCAACTGCTGCATCAGATCCCTGCCACGCTTCATGTCAATGCAGACGCTCTGCTTGTTGCGATTGGGCGCTAGAAAGTAAGCCGCATCGCCGCTCTTCTCTAGAAATGGCGGGCCCCATTTGCGCGCCTCATCGCCGAAATGGGGCCGCTCCACCTTTATCACCTCGGCACCCAGATCGGCCAGCACCATGGTGCAGTAGGGTCCAGCGATGATGCGCGTGAGATCTAAAATACGCACACCCCGCAACGGATGTCGCTCATCTATGGGAGAAGCGTCAAGGTTATTGTTGTTGCTGTTGCTGTTTTTATTCTCACTGGCAGCGGCAAAGCTTCGTAAGCTTTGACGAGCTGCGCCGACAGCACATGAGAGTCGTAAACGTTGTAACCACATAGCCATCGTGAGTAACTGTTTATTTCCAATCAATTATTATTTGCTTTGCTGTTGACAGTCACTTTCTCTGTTGTTGTTGTTGTTGTTGTTGTCGTTGTTGCTGTTGTTGTTTATGTTCTTCTGCACTACGCCAGTATTCCAAACGGAAAGTTTTCCAGTCAACTGCTCAGCAGCCACTGAAACAAGCACAGCTGACATATGAGAGCTTTCTTAAAACATCGCCCACCATTCGCTCTTAGTGGAGCGTGCTCACTCTCTCTCTCTATCTTTTAGTTTCTCTTAGCTCCATTTCTATATACTGTTTCTAGCATATACGATAATAGCTTGTTTATCATTTAAGTGCAGATAACTAACTAAGCTGGCGCTCTCTCGAGTTCGTTTCCCTTCGCTTGTTGCTCTCGGAATGTTCCTTAATTATTACACAACTATTTTTACATCTTCCGCTTTATTATTACCATTTACCTTGGTACTTTCCCGCCTTGAACCAAAAGAATCATAAATATCATATAAAACCAGCTTCGTGTTTTTTCCCCCTTAAAGAGCCAAAGTCCTAAACGATCAGAAAAAAGAATAAGATTACCTTTTCGTTTTCTTTACTTGAACATTTTGCGTGATCTCAAGTTGAGACTCTGTAATTTAAAACATTAGGAAGCATCTAAATTTGGGCACATTCCCAAAGTACTTTAATTATATATTTTTTGTTAATGCACAGAACTCTAAATTGGCCGGCTTAAATGCTATAAGCCCTAATGGTTGCGCAATTAAAAAACAATTCTTATCTCGTAGACAGCTAAATAGTAAACATTTAAAATATTTACAAAGCAAACAAAAAAATTTTCTAAATTGCCATTAAATATGCAGCATGACCGCCCAAAAATATCTGCCTTTAAAATCGCAGTCTCCCACAATTTGTTTATAGATTTATATATATAGATGCCTTCATATTACTTATTTGTTTATTTGGGTAAACATTTTAGTTTACTTTCAGCTGAATTCAATATGCAACTGGGAACCTTTTTCCCTTTTCTCCCGATGATCTCACTTTCAGTTTCGAAGCCTTTTTCTCATATACCTACGACATTGACATAACTCGTGTGTCGATTGCTTATAATCTGTATAATTAACAAACAGTCCAAAGGAAAACTTGTCTGAGTCTTCACACTGCACTAATAACAACAAATGCAAATAAATCGAAGTTCATAAGTTCGTCTAATTGCAGGTTAGCAGGAAGCATTTCAAGTCATTAGCTCAACTGACGCAATACCCGATAAAGATATAGTTGAGCAAATTAAATTGCATTACTAATGAAATTCTAAGAAAATTGCATAAGTAACAAGCTTACTTTATTGTTTGATTCCATTTTTTTAAGATGCAACAGAAATCGCTTTTAGTTCTGTCAGTTTTCGCTGATTGCATTTCCGCAGAACGAATGGGATTCACAAAAGAACTAGAAAGCCGAACCTAAGAGCGGATGCAGTTTGAAGAGAGAGCGTCACACAGCAGACGAACCGGTTCGAGCTTTCGACTAAGCGAGCGTGAGCGCAGCTTACGAACGAGCCAAGCAGAGCTTTAAATGTTATGCGCTGCGCTGGATGCTCATTTATTTGCTTAGCGCGCGTCGTTCGCATCGGTTCGTTCGTTCGTCTCAATTCGCTGCGATCGGTTACAAATGTAATAAATCTGACAATAACAGAAACAAAACAAAACACAAATCAAAACAAAACAAAACACAACACAACCAAAAATATAGTGTAGCAAAATGAAAGCCAGTGATACGTTACGCATGCGTTTGCAGCGCATACAAATTCGGTTAGATACATGCAATCGCTGCCGCAACTAGATTGAGATGCAGTCGCGCTCAAGAAAGTGTTTTGCCAACAGCTATTAGCCAACTGACCAAAAATAGAGAAAAATAGTAAAAACGAAAAAATAAAGTATTAAGCCATCGCCAGTTTTCGAGCCAAAACAGCGAATTCGAATTCGAGTTCGAGTCGTGTGTTGAGTTGTGCAAGCGCAAATCGCAGCAGCCGCCGCAGTCGCTGCCAACGTCGCCGTCGCCGTCGCCGTTGCCGTCGCTGCCGTCGTCGTAGTTGCAGTTGCAGTTGCAGTCGCAGCCGATGCAATTGCAGACCAGCTGCATATTGCACAATCCTTTCGCTTGTTGGCCAACCTGTTCACTTGTATCTATTGGATACCATCTATATATACTTATATATACATCTAGATATCTAGATATATATATATACTCGAATTTGAAATAATTTCACTTTGAAGCCGTTTAACGCAAAGCCGCCAAAATTGCTGTCCTACTGTGTTCCAGGATCCTGGGGTACATCATGCGCCGTTTCCTGCGCTCGGCCATGATTGTCTTCAGCTGGTTTGTGGTGCCCTACAGCCGCTACACCAACATCAAGGTAATTCGACGCAAGCTGCCGCCCATACGCAGTCACCTGCTGGAGATACCTGCCGTCGATCTAGCCAAGCTGATTCGCAACAGAAAGGTAAGTACACCTAACACAAACACACAAACGCACACACATTCACATGCGTGTGTTTATATATGTACTTACATGTGCATATGTGCAATTGTGGGTATATATGTATGTGTGTATGCTTCAATCGAACGCACCTTAAAATTGGCAATATCTTGTAAAATATCAATAGACAGACAGGCGAGCCTCGAGCAATGGCTTGAGGCTGTGACAGGCGCTGGGGCCATATGTGTTTTGGGGCTTTCAATCCACTGTCCACTTAATGCCAATTTAACGACAAGAGAGGCCACTCACAGCGCTTGCCACATCCATTAGAGACTTTGTGGCAAAGCTGAGGCAATTTGTTGCCGCTGACCAACACTGGTCAGCTAAAATGACTCGCAGGTGATGGAGGTGATCGCCTTTAACATCATGACACTACTTTAAAAATGTATTTTTTTTTTTTT